GACGAGGTATTGCAGGCCCCTACCACGACGACGGGAGTCCACAATCCGGCGAACCAACCAGGCAGGATGGCCATCCACAAGCAGGGCGGGAGGAGGGGGAGCGGCCGGAGGGCAAAGCGGGCTAGAGAGAACAGGCTTGATCTGAGAGACATGGAAGGTGGGATGGATCCGGAGACCAGGGGGAAGGCGGATCCGGACCGAGACAGGACTGAGGACCTCCAGAACCTCGTAGGGACCCAGGAACCTGGGGGAGAGCTTGCGAGACACAGACTTCAGGGGAACATGCAGAGAAGAAAGCCAAACCTTCTGCCCGGGGACGTACACTGGAGCAGGCGCCCGCCGACGGTCAGCATATTTGCGATTCTGTTCCAGGGTGCGGTTGAGGGCAGAAGTGGCAACGGACCATACACGACGGCAGCGGCGGACATGATGGTGGACAGAGGTGACAGAGATGTCCTTCTCATCAGCAGGGAAGAGAGGGGGTTGATAACCTAGGGACACCTCAAAAGGGGAGAGACCAGTGGCAGAGGAGACATGGGAATTGTGGGTATACTCCACCCAGGGCAGGAACAGGCTCCAGTCAGAGGGGTTGGATGAGGTCACACAACGGAGCGAGGCCTCAAGTTCCTGATTCATACGTTCAGTCTGACCATTGGTTTGAGGGTGATATCCTGAAGAGAGACTGACCTGGGAACCAAGAGCTGAACAAAACTGCTTCCATACCTGGGAGATAAACTGAGGGCCACGATCTGAAAGAACGTCTTGAGGGATTCCATGTAGACGAAAGACGTGCTTGACTAGAAGTTGTGCAGTCTGGAAGGCAGTAGGAAGTTTTCTGAGGGGAATGAGATGGCAGGCTTTAGAAAATCTATCAATGACAGTCAGAATAGTAGTCATACCCTTCGAAGGTGGGAGACCGGTAACGAAATCCAAGGCAATATGTGACCATGGTCTTTTGGGAATGGGTAGGGGTTGTAAGAGGCCAGAAGGAGGTTTATTACCAGTCTTATTACAGGCACAGGCAGGGCAGGCGAGGACATAGTCCCTTACATCTTTGTGAAGGGACGGCCACCAGAACCTTCGAGAGATCAGAGCTATGGTGCGGCTTGTGCCTGGGTGACAGGAGAACTTCGCTGTGTGAAACCAGTGAATGAGCTTGGAACGAACAGTAGAAGGAACATATGTCCGGTTGGTTGGTCCGGTGCCTGGGTCTGGCTCATCCTTCAGAGCTTGGGAGACAATATTCTCGATGTCCCAGGTTACGGCACCCACAGAACAACTGAGAGGGAGGATGGGGGCAGGAGGTTCAGAGCCTTCTTCTGCAGAGAATTGGCGGGAAAGCGCATCAGGTTTGGTATTTTTGGAGCCTGGACGGAATGAGATAGTTAGGTTAAACCGGGAGAAAAACAGGGACCATCGTGACTGGCGGGAATTGAGACGTTTGGCTGATTGCAGATATGACAGGTTTTTATGATCTGTCCATACCAATACCGGGTGAGTGGAGCCCTCCAACCAATGACGCCATTCCTCCAAAGCAATTTTAATGGCAAGTAGTTCTCGGTCTCCAACGTCATAGTTCCTTTCAGCTGGGCTCAACCTGCGAGAATAGAAGGCACAGGGATGCAACTTTCCATCATGCACTGACCTTTGAGATAACACGGCACCTGCTCCGGTATCAGATGCGTCAACTTCCAGGATGAATTGCTTTTGAGGATCAGGTTGAATCAAGATGGGGGCAGAGGCAAACAGGTTTTTGAGAGCTGTGAAGGCGTGGCTGGCCTCAAGGGTCCATTCAAACTTGCTCTTGGTGGAGGTAACGGCAGTTAATGGAGATGCTGTTTGGCTGTAATTCTTTATGAAGCGGCGGTAAAAGTTAGCAAACCCTAGGAAGCGTTGGAGCTGTTTTCGGTTTTCCGGGGTGGGCCAGTTTAGGACAGCTTTAATCTTGTCTGGGTCTGTGCGCACCTGTCCACCCTCAAAGATGTATCCTAGGAATGTTATGGATGACCGATGAAACTCACTTTTTTCAGCCTTAACATAGAGGCGGTTTTCGAGGAGACGCTGGAGAACCATGCGGACGTGTTTGTGGTGTTCAGCTAGGGTATCAGAGAAGATCAGGATATCGTCTAGATAGACAAAAACAAACCGGTTAATGAAATCACAGAGAACATCGTTTATCATGGCTTGGAATACGGCGGGGGCGTTAGTGAGTCCGAAGGGCATGACTAGGTATTCATAGTGACCAAGGGGTGTCTGAAAGGCAGTTTTCCATTCGTCACCCTGACGGATGCGGACGAGATGATAAGCATTCCGAAGATCCAGTTTGGTAAATACAGTAGCATTCTGCATAAGATCAAAGGTGGAGGAAATGAGAGGAAGGGGATATTTGTTTCTCACCGAGATCTGGTTCAGTCCACGATAATCAATGCAGGGCCTCAGGGAACCATCTTTTTTGGATACAAAGAAAAATCCAGCACCAAGGGGAGAAGAGGATGGACGAATCAGACCTGCAGACAGGGATTCTTTGATATAGGTCTCCATGGCTTCTCTTTCCGGTCGGGAGATGTTATATAGTCGGCTGGAGGGCAGGGGAGCTCCAGGCAGAAGGTCTATGGCACAGTCATATGGTCTGTGAGGGGGTAAACAGGAAGCTTTGTGCTTATTAAATACCTGATTCAGATCGTGATAGATATCTGGAACATGAGATAGGTCAGAGGTCTCAACTTCTGTCTGGCTGATGGGAGCAGAGTTTGGAAGCAAGGCTGATTGGAGACAGGAGGAGTGGCAGAATGAGGACCAAGAATCGACACGGAGATTGTGCCAATTTAGCGAGGGGTTGTGTCTCTGCAGCCAGTTGAATCCTAGAACAATAGGAGACTGTTTAATAGGGAAAAGCAAGAAGGACAGGGTTTCCACATGATTACCAGATATAATAAGTTTTACAGGTTCTGTTTTGTGTGTGATTAGGGGGAGCGGGTTGCCGTCCAAGGCAGAAACATGGATAGGAGAAGATAATGGAACAGCTTTGAACTTACATTGAGAGGCAAAGTTGGTATCTATGAGGTTCTGTTCACAACCGGAGTCTATGAGTGCAGACAGAGTGAAGGAGTCGTCAGAGCTGAGTAGGGTGGCAGGAAGGAGGAGTCGGGGTTGATTCTGTAGGTAGAGATGGTCCGACAGTGTCCCCGTGTCTACTGTCAGACCCTGTCTTTTGGGCGAATGGAACATGAAGAGATGAAATGGCCGGAGGAGCCACAGTAGAGACACTGGTTGGCTTGGATTCGACGCTGTCGTTCCTCCTGTGTCAAGTGGGTACGACCCAGCTGCATGGGTTCAGTTTCAACAGGATGAGAGCGAGGAGGAGGAGATGTGTTGAGGCTGGATCCAGAGGTTGTAGAGTAGGTGCTTGGTCGGAGTGTGGCTTTCTGGATCTTGTCTCTTACTTTATCCCTCAGGCGGTTGTCAAGCCTGACAGCGAGTGTGATTAAGTCATTCAGGTTATCAGGTTCGTCTAGCAATTTTAGCTCGTCTCTCACCGGCTCATTCAGTGCATGAAAAAACTCACTCATTAGTGACTCTTCGTTCCAAGTAGAAGAAGCGGCAAGGGTGCGGAATTCTATTGAGAATTCGGCCACTGATTTATTGCCCTGTTTTGCCCTCCGTAATGCACTGGAGTATGTGGAGCGGTCAGCTTCCAGGTCAAAGGTTTGATTTAACTCCTCCACAAATGTATTATAAGTGCAATTAAATCCACGGGCATTACGGAATCGGGCCTCGGCCCATCTTAAGGCTTTTCCTTTTAATAATCCAATGATGAAAGAGATTTTTGAGTCATCATCCGGAAAGGCATATGGTGAAGACTTAAACACGAGTGTGCATTGAAATAAGAAGCTCGCACAGCCACCCACCTCTCCTGCATAACGTTCGGGAACTGGGGCTGGAAAATGATGAGAAGCTACTGTAGAGGTGGGTGTAGGATGGTCTGGAAAGGCCGCAGCGCCACCTTGTGGCTGAGGACTGAACTTGCTGGCTACATCGGACAAGAGAATTGTGAGCTGATCCAGACGTTGGTTCGTGACAGCTTGTTGGTCCCTAAGGTTCTGAAGAAATGAATCATGCATTTGTAAAAGCTTATTTTGATCAGCTACTGATCTCCTAAGAGTCTGTGCGGGGTCGGTTTGGCCAGATTGTTCTGTCATGGTTTTTTCTTTATTTAGATATTTGACCCACATACAAGATGACTCTCAAGAGACCAGGAGATGTAGTAAAAAATAGTTTATTAGAGGTGAGCAGAGGCTGGCAGGGATGGGCTGGTTCCGGAGCTAGAGATTGGATCACTGGAAGAAATAACACATGAAATGATGATCGGGACGGGGAGATATTTATGTAGATAGTGGGGAGAGTTCTTACTGACATTTGGATGTAGCGGAGCGTGGGAGAGGTGAGCCGGTACCGGGGCTGTGGGTAGATGTGGAGGTTCGGAGAAGTGAGGCAGGTTGTTGGAGGGTTAACAGGAGACGCACGGGAGGAGAACAGAGCCAGGGAGGATTCAGCCGTGGTTCAGGAGATCCGGGAGCTGCAGAGGCTGGTATGAGACTTCCACACAAAGGTGTAATCCAGAACGGGTTCTAGGAATCCTGTGATGACAGACAGAGGTTTCAGGGAACAGACTAGAATAAAACAGGAACAGATTCAGGTGGCTGGACGTTACCACTAAGGCAAACAATCTGGCGCTGAGTGGCTGGTTCACTGGCTCCTTTATTCCTCCCGTCTAATTACATGATGGGCTGCAGGTGAGAAGGGTGACTCTGCAGCCGAGGTAATTAGCTGGATGGAGTCTCCTTATGAGTCTCCCTAGCCCTCCAACAACCTGTGAAGAGGAAATGAGAACCCACAAACCCAGTACCTGACAAATGTTCTCTATGTTCCACTCACTTTGTCCTGCTCTAGTTACTACTTTAACTTTTTGTCACTCTGCATCTCTGTGCCTCTGACTGCAGCTGAGCCGCTGGGTGGAGAAGAGTACCTGGATGTTATTGGCATCACGAGGAACCAGGCTGGTCGCTATGAGTGCAAGGCCAGCAACGATGTGGCCATGCCTGATGTTAAATATGTGAACGTAGTCGTCAACT